AGCTCAAATTAAAAGAGCAACAAGATCAATTCGACATAAATATGCTAGCCTGCAATGAGATCTGGTGAACGAACAAGAGGATCGTGATACATACAGGCTGGAGCAAGATCAGCAATGCAGGAGCGTGATCAGTTGCAGACTAATGCTCAAAACCAAATAAACAGAATGATAAATAATATAGCAAGAAAGCAGACCTGTATTGGTGAATTGTTAGGAGAAAAACTAGCCTTTCAGCTAATATATCAAAGGTGCAAAGCTGAGGCTGACTTGTCAGAATTCAATCGCGCCTGGGTATTTAATCGTTATCAAAAATGGAAGGCTCGGAAAATTAATTCTCGCCAGAATATTTTAAATTTAAATCAACAAATTTTTGCGTTTCAAAATAATAATCAACAAAATCAAAGAAATATGGCAACAATCCCAGCACCAATATTTTCAGGTAATCACGATGAAGATGTTAAAATTTTTATTAGTTGATTATCAGCATATTAGGCTGGTATAGATGTAGACCCAGTTGGTGCAACAAGAGATAGAGCTTTTGGTATTCTTAGAGGATGTTTATCTGGACTAGCATTAGATTGGTTTGATCGAAAAATTCTTGGTAAGTGATGGGAGCTTCATAATATTCTCGCAAATCATGGACAAGCCAATATAGCTGGTGTTCAAGTACATACTATAGCACAGATAAATACTAGCAATAGTTTTAGAAATCCTTCAATAGCCTATACCTATGCTAATACTTCTGCTAATAATGCTGTAACGGTAGGGAATTCAATGATTCCAGCAGAAGCTTTTATTGAAGATTGGAGCTTAGCTGAAGGACGTCTATTGGAAAGACCCGCCAATGCAGTAAATGCAGGTAATAATAATCCTATTATATTGGATAATATACAGATTGGACAGGCATTATATTGGCTCAAGAATGAATATCCTACAGTGCTTAGTGAAAAGCACAATCTAGTGTTTGGTTCATTAGCTCAAGGGGATGATCCTCTAGGAATATTTTATTCAAAACCTAGAAAATATGGACAAATGCTTAAACTTGATGAGGAGCAAATTAAAGGTCAGTTTTTACATGGCTTATTTTCTGATCTAGAGGATGATGCAGAACGTATTGGTACCGAACAACACTTAGAAGAACTTTTTAGTACATTAGAACGAATTGAAACACGCAGATTGGAAAAAAGACTAGAATTAGTTACTAAAATATCTCAGTCTAGTTATAAGCCATCATCTAGATCCCATGAAAAAGATATTTACTCAAGCAATACAGGTGTGAGTAGAAATGAAATCATAGATTTGATAAAAACTACAATAGCTTCCTCACAACCTCAAATAGCTCAACAGAATGCTGATTTGCAGTCTACCATTAAATCCTTTCAAGAGACTATGTCTCGAGTAACTAAAACTCTAGATAATAGTAAAAAATCATCTAAGAAGAGAGTGGAAGATACTGCCATTAATCACTTTTTGAGTGACTTACTAAGAAAAAATCCTGGTAAACACCCTGCCGATGAATATGATCATGATCCTATAGAAGATATTTCAGATAGTTTAGCAAGATTAACATTAAATAGTGTTATAAAAACTGCTGTTAGACGTGCTGTTAAGAAATCATCAGGTCACAAATGCTCCACTTGCAGAAGATCTGGACATAATTCCCGAAACTGCCCTTGAAAGAAAAAGAAAAGCAGAAAGTCTAAAAAGAGTAAAGTTAATCTCGCTACTGTAGATTCAGATTCAGGTTCGAGTACTTCTTCTGATACTTCTTCTAGTAATAGTTCTAATACAAGTTCTTCTAATTCTTCTGATTCTTCCGATTCTGAAAACAATATCACTATCAACATTGCCAAGGCAAAAAAAAAGTGAAGCAAGACTCTAGTTCCAAGAAATCGTCCCTTAAAAGGACGTCTAAAACTTCATTGGAGGAAACTATTCGTAAAGTCCTCCAAAGTGAACTTAAATTAATTTTTTCTGATCATTTCTCCCAAGACTCTATTAAAGCTAATATACCGAATCAAGTGCCTCTAATCTAGGAAAAGAAAGAATCTCAAAGCAATACTTCTCCAATTACCGAGGTTGTATCGCTAGATCCAAATGAGGAAGAAGATTTGGATAGTCCGATGGAGATTGATTTCGTTAAGAAGAAAGAGCCGAAAACAAGTGTTGCTATTGTAAAGTGTAAAATCAAATGTTTAAAGATTCCTGCCATGACAGTCGACTCTGGAGCTGAACCTCCTATTATAACAGAAAATATCGTTGAACGTGTAGAAGCTAAAATTGATAAATCTGAAACACATGATCTTAGTGGTATTGCCACTGTTCTGGTTGAATCTGTTGGGGTTGTTCGCAAATTACCCATTACTCTAGCCCCAGGCTGTACTATCCATGAAGATTTTATTGTTGTGAAATATCAGAAGCCGACGTTAATATTTTCTAATCAGCTTTTGAAAAAATACAATTGCGCATTGGATTGAAAAACCAATGAGCTAAAATTCCTCTTAATGGAAAAGATTATATTATCCCAGTCACTATGCATAAGGTCAAAAACAAGCTTGAGGTAAATTGCGCAAACATAACTCCGGATTGTGACGATTTTTCGACTCTGAATAATATATCACAGAACTCACAGGAGTTAAGTGGATATGACGATATATTAAAAAAAAACACATAAACTATGAAGAGTTCAAAAAACTGCTATACGACATTCTCATCTCCAAAGCTAAATTAATTGAGATTAATAAAAATCTACGATCACTTTCTTCTTACTAACTGTACATCCCGGCTTAGTAGATGGTCTCATTGAGACCCCTACGAAGCATTTTTTGTCTGAATATAATGAAAGGGTGAGTTGGAGGCTAGAAGCTTTTCCGATTCACATATAGCTTTCTCTAATTCTATATGATCCTTTTCGATTAAAGCAAATATGTCATGCGAGATATCTAGGGAGGAGTTTTGGTAAAGACCCCAGCTGAAATCTCAGGTAAGTCAGAACTTCGAATGGATTTGGGCTGGTCCTGGAGGGACCACTTCAGTAGTTTCTTTTTCTTTTTTTGCTTTTCTTGTGCATTCATCTCAATAGACTCATGAAATGGATCCAAAGATCCTGAAATTGGATGATTATTTTCTTTTTCTTGAGAATTATTCTCTGAAGGGAGGACTGATGAGATGGATTGTACCTTCCTAAGCTCCTCAAAAAAGTGGTTCCCATTTTGCTGTGAACGTTCACAATCGTTCCATATATCATGAACACGATTTTTATTAATATGATACTCCTTTATTATCATATATGTTGGAACTTTATTTTTAAGACGTCTGATTTCTTCGATCTGCTCAGATGTTAAAATATTGGCACCTCGCCAATAATGAGTTTTTAAAATTGAGGTAGATATACTCCTCCGATAATTTTTAAACGATGTATTTAAATACATAAAAAATGTTAGGCATTAATATTTATAGTTTTAGATAGATAAAAAATATTAGAAAATATTATTTATTGTTCTAGGATAGAAGAAAACATTAAAAAATGTAATTTATTGTTTTGGATGGGTAAAATACATCTAATTCGCTATCCATAATTAACGATAAAAAATGATCAATATCCTTCATATTCATTCTATATTTATCGCAATTGTTCTCTAACAAAAATATGAAAAGTTTTTTTTACATGTTTATGAGCAATGTAAATAAATGGGAATATATGATCTTGAAAAAGAGATACACCGCATTTTGCAAGACTCATCCGAAATACGAGGTTATAATACTAGGTTGCGAAGTGAATATATAAAACTCAATGACGAGAATAGGCGGTTGAAGGTTGAAAATTCCAAACTTATCTCCTAGAATGCTTATACAGAAATATCTCTTACCAAAGCTAAAGCCGATAACTTTGCAAAATCAGAGGAAGTGAAATCGCTTCAGTCTGTGATTAATTTATTAGCCCCTAGATACTCTGATAAGAATAATCGGTCAGATTCGCATGTAAAAAGTGGTGGCGAAAAAAATGATGAGCTGGAAGGCTCCAGTGCTTCTTCAGAACAAATCATACCCGCTACTATTTCTAAAGAAAAGATTTTATTAGGTGGTGCTGGGAACCCTATCGATATAGACAAATTACTATCATCGGTGCTTACCTGATCAATATTGCTTTTTCTATTAATCGTAATTATATGGTTAGTCGTTGTGAAAAAGCTATGGAATTTGGAGAGCGTCATACCAAAAGAAAAAGTCAGATATCCCACCCACAAAAAATATATAAATAGAGAAGAGGTACCAGATAGGTCAGAGATAACACCTAAATATCTACCGTATGAGTACTGGCACTAGTGGGACCTCTTTAAATCTTTTTTCAATATGAGCTAATACCTTTTCTGATAAATCTTTAGGCGGATTTATTAAGACCTTTTTAGCATCGGCCACCGTACAAGCTAGAAACCATCCAATATGAATAAACTCACCTTCCTTACTATTATGCCCATAGCGTAGCAAAAATCGATACTCATCCATTATAATATCTGTCATTTTCTTCTGATCTGCTATTATTTTATGAAATTCTTGTCTATTCTCCTCTGTAATTAGAAGACGGATTTCACTAGGTTAGAAGCCTATATACTGAGAAAGTTGGTCATGCAATTCAGCCATTATATTATGAAAGTATATATGGTGCAGGAAGTCTATACTCAACAGTTACACGAAGTGTTTTAATTTTTTAAATGGCTATAACTTTTTATTTAAGAGATTTTAAAAAAATCTGACCGGTAACTTTATAGAGCTATATTA